GACTCGCGATCATCGTCATCGATGCTTTCGCGCTCGCTCGGCTAATTCGCGTATCGAATTCTAATGCAACTGAATCGATCTTCTTGGAAAAGTCATATTTACTACTTCTTCTTTATTCTTTCGAGAAAATAATTATTATTTTCTTTTTTTATGATATATTTTTTATTTTGTCCAACATTTTTGATTATTCTTAAGGGGTAAAAATATGACCTGAATTATGATATAAATTCGAATCGATGTTAAACCGATAATTGTTCGTGATAAAAGGAGATTGCAAATAAGATAAGTGAAGAGAGTTTAAATATCTGTGATTGTACAGGTCAAATGTTAATTAGCGATACAATCAGATAATCAATCGATTATATCTGCAGGGCATTTATTCCGTGGAAAAACATGAAAAACTTGGAATTATCAGAATTTCTCTTGCATTACTGAGAAATTCAGATATTTTTTGAAAATATTATCTCTTTGATAATTTTGCTCTTATATTGTAAATAGTCAGCATGTAAATTTGCCGAAGTCAAGTTGTGTGAATTATGTGTTTAAAAAATATATCATATAAATATATAATATATATTTATATATTTATATATATCTCTATTTATATATTTATATAATTATGTATATATATTATTTATTTATATATTTATATATTTATATATATCTCTATTTATATATTCAATGTCTTAACGAAGTATTATAATAATATGCAATTCATATTCTTTATTAATCTTTGATGATAAAAAAATGTCATAAATAAAAGTTGTTTATCTGACGAAAGCTATTCAGTTTCTTTTTCTTTTTCAATACATTTCGAAATTTACCACATAAAATTTAAATGGTTCTATGGTTTTTCTTCGTATAAACGCGAAAAGCATTAGAGAACGCATACAATAAAAAATTTTATTTTAGAAAATTATAGCAAAAAATTTCCAAAATATTCTCTTTGCCTAAAATTTTAAATAAAAATATCTGGAAGATTAGGAAATTTTTATGAAATTATTTTACAAGACTTGAATAGACGTCCCGTATATAGCGCGCTAATTTTTATTGAAAAAATAACTTTTTTTCTGTAAATATGATACTTCAAAATTGTTTCCGGTCGAAGTGTGTTACTCGTACTATTCTTGTATCTACTTTTAAAAGAATGAAATTTAACGCAGATAAAATGAACGCGTGCATAGCTTTATATCGTTTCTTTTAGTCAATAATGTAATAAGCGAAACGAAACAGAGCATATTACGATTAGTAACCGGAATATGTTTTAATATGAAAAACAGGAATATTTGCATCATCCATCGTCCGTAGAATTTCCAATTATAATCAATTAGCGACCGTTTAATCACGCTGATTTTTTTCGCATATATTTAAAATACCTGGTTTCTTCTTTCTCGAGAAGAAAAGCATCTAAACTACGTAAACTGCATTCCATGTAGGAAAGTCGTACGCGGGGGGATCCGGCATTCTTGGCTTTTACGATTCGTATGGCCGATAAAATCGTGACTCGCAGTCCGACTCTGTCGGCGTCGACGAGGAAGAAGAAAGGAGTGTCAATGAGCTTCGATTTTTGTCGTTGATCAAGAAAGCCTCTATTTTCGCCGGGGGCAACATCCGATCGCGTCTCTCGAAAAGGCAATCTCGAACGAATTTTACGGTAATTGCTAAAAGATTATGACGCGCGCCTAACACTTTTTGATTATTACGGGTCTCACCGATGAATCCCGACTGTTATTACACGACTATTCGCCGTTTTCATTATTTGCTTACTATGTGATTCACTAATGAATCGCAATCTCTCCCTCTCTCTGTTTCTTTCTTTCGCTGTTTTCTGCTATTTCAGATATTATATTACACGTAAAAGAATTCGTTTGAAAAATAGTCCTAATCATCAAACCGCTACTTAGCAATTAAGCCGCGAGGATCGAAGGAATAAAATGAGTATCGTGAATTCAACGGGATTATATTCGCATCACCGTAATAGAAATTCTCAATGCCTATTCAAATCTTTTAGAAACAATCCCTGAAAATTTTCTGATATTTCAAATATTTTTGTTTAAAAAGAGGAAAAAAAGAGTTTAAAGATTTTTTGTTGTAACTTTCTAAAAAAGATTTTTCGAATTTTATATGCGCTCTCTAGTGTTTTTTGCTCACATAAAAGAAAAACACAGAGCCACCTAAATTTCAATTTTGCTAGATTTATAAAGATAAACATTTTTTAAGGTTTTCATTCACTTTTTTTTATCACTTAAAATTTTATCAATTTTGTTTATTAATAAAAAATACGTATTATATAAAAAATATGTATTCAATATTATATTTTATTAAGACAATGACTGTATAAACAAAACTAAATAAATATATATATTTTTTAAACAAATAATTCATATAAAATGCAAGTGTAAAATCAAATTTATTTAAAAATATTTTTTTTAAATTCTTTAATAAAATTTCAGAGAAGTTCCTTAATTTTTCCAGGTAGAAATCCTCGAGATTCTAGATTTTCTATGTTTTCTTTTTAGAGAACAGACATCCTGAAATTACATGCCATACAGGTGACGAATTTCGTAAATCGAAACTCCGCTACAACCGTGTCGAAAGCGAAGCAACTTTCGTAATCCACCAGTTAACTTGTCGAAAGTATTAGCACCACGCGTTACCAACAAGTTTTCTTTCCACCGGATTTTCCTCGATGTTTCGCCTGCAATTCTATTAATGCGCGCGATGTACTAAAATTATTACGTTTTCTCTTGTTGCAACTGGCTCGGTCATTTTTTTTCTTTTCTTTTGATGAAAATCTGATCAGACGTTATCTATTTTCTCAACCTCTTAATTATTTAACGCTAGATATTTAGATAAGCGAGTCTCGAATTAAAATAAATCTTAGCCTTAAAATAAAACTCGCTGGAAATTTAACGCAGATAAAAATATTATATTCACGTCTGCGAAGTTTTAATTTGCAAGAATCTTTTACTTTATGTATTACAGCCGGAATGGCGAGCAAATTTCGACGGACGGAAATTAATTCATCTCCAACGATGCCTCGAAATATCCCCATTGTATGCCTGAGATTCGTTCTCTCGTCCACTCGTTTCAAGCTTCAAAGCTGACAAATCGAACGCGTACATTAGCCTCTTATCCCCGCGAGATTCGCATTTCTGAATTGAATTACTCTCTCGATGAACCTTGACCGCTTCGAGATTGAAATTCAAAGTTGGATTTTCGGTGACTGCCATCAGATCGCCGTCGCGCGCGAATGCCTCCCTCCCCTAGCGAATGTATAATGTAACCAAGAGTCTCAATGTGGTACTGTCCCTTTTTTGGGGTCACTCTGGGATCGTTCATTGAAAAATTCACATAATTTTTCCATCTTTTTACGGAAAAATTCATAAAAGTATACACGAAATGCACGAATGTAATTCAAATTTGCGTAAAAAGCAAATCAATTTATGCACCCATTGTTCTTTTGATTACAATATATCTACCTCGATACGATAAGACGCTTAGGTAATATAAGAAAATACAGTTTACGGCTATATCATGCTATTTAAGAATCGATGATGTCAAATGATGTTGAGCGTTGAAAGTAAAAAAATTACATTCTGTGAAATTACTTTCCGACGACGAATGAACGAGGAAAGGATTTGCAACGAAGATGAGAATGATTTCATTCGCATGCTTTCGCGAGTGAAATGTCAGTGTCTGACTTTTCTCACGAGCAAAGCATCGCGACCAATAAAGCTCGATTCACAAGCACGAGAAATCAATTCTTCGATCCCATCTGAATTCATCGAGAGAATTTGTTATCTCGTTCTCAAATCTCTGATCGAAAGTAAACTCACAGATGGGGAATAAAATCTGCGTTTGCATCTCGTTCTAAGAGTAATGACAACGCAATTCTTGCGATGAACAATTTGTGAGCACCGCATTATAGGTGCGACCTTTTCAATTTGTATTCTAACCTTTAGGAGAAGCGCTATACAACGTCGTCTGTGTGCTCAGGATGTGAAATAACGTTAAAACATAGACACATCGAGCGTATAACGCACGGGACGAAGCTATAAATAGACGTTCCCATATAAAACGACGAAGTATCAAAGTTTCATTAAAAGACTCGAAGTTCTTTCGCGGTGTTCTTATGGGAAAAAAATTATTATAGTTTCCGGGAAACTGATTACTCGCTTGAATTTTGATTACCTTCATCGAGTCCTTAATCTAATTTTGGATCAATCGCGAGTTTGATTCTGTTGATTAAACGTTCCATTTGACGTGTTTGTGCTATTTTTAAGTAACTTATGAATGTCCCAATAAAATTACCAATAATCGAAATTGATCCGATAACTTTAAATTTCTAGGTTTTTTTACATCAGTTTAAAGAGGAGAATAGTACAAGAAAGATGATATAATATTTTTTCGATAAAACAAGTTAATTGTTAAAGTTATTAATTTAATACGAAAACATAAAATGTAAATAAAGTCATGTGTATTCGTTTAATTGTCAATCTCATAAAAAATAACAAACATATATCGATTTATCAAATTTATTAGAATTCTTATTAGAATTGATAGAAAAAAATTTATCACCAAATTTTTGATTTATTAATACGTATTATAATACGATTATATAATACGTCTTACTTTCTTGTGCGCCTATTTAAAAAATTTATATTCTCACCCTTCTTGCTGTATTTTCAAAATCCAATATTCGTATTGATTACATTAAGCACTTCTCTTTTTCAATACAATTTTTCTCATGTAATCTAATTTATTCCAAATATACGATTTTTTAATCATACTAAAAAAGTCTAATGATAATTTCATAATTACAGAGCTTTAGTATCACAGAAAAAAATGGTGCAGCAAAATCTGATGTAGTATCACGAGTATAAATATCGATTAGTGAAAGCCTCGTATTGCATTTCCGTCGAATAAACGAGGAAAAAAAATTGAAACAAGGAAACGGAAAAATTACGCGATCGCGTAATAAAAGAAATGAAACAAACCTTGCTTAATGACGATACCGGCGGAGGGCACTTGGACAATCGGCAGCGGCGGATTATTAACGCCGGCGGAGGAAGCTGCGGGGGTGGCTGCGACGGCGGCGGCGGCGGGAGGGGGGACGGCGCCACCGGGTGTACCGGGGGGCGGCGAGGCGCTGGTGCTACCCACGGAACCGGGATCGCTGAAGCCCTGGGTACTGTTGTTCTCCTCTGGGCCGTCGAAGAAGCTCAGATTGAATTCACTTCCGGCGTCGAACGACACCTCCGGCGTGAGGGTGTCCGGCGCCGGGGCGCTGCCCAAACCCGTGCTCAGCGACTGATCGAGTTTGAAAACGTCCATTGTACGGGCATTGAACGATCATCGGCGTCGATGGCGAACAACCTGGTGCACCTGGACGACGTCGGCGATAATTCAGCATTCGCGCGCGCGCGCACCTCTCGATCCTCGGATACCTCGGGCACTTTCGCCAGAGTTTTCTGTCGTTTTGATGATGTATAAAATCCTTTGTCACGCGATATTTTCCTCGATCCACGATGGACGAAGAGATGAGAAGAAAGTCGTTGGCTTCTCTCTTCGAATCTCAATTCTGGTCCCGGTAATTATCTATCGATTTAACTTTCTTGATAATAATAAGGCGACTATCACTTAATAAGCTCGATTAATTATTAGGCGCTTCTCGATGCTCCTTTGGATACTTTGAAACACTTGTTCGTCTCACCTTATTCAATTGAGCTTTATTTTGTTACTCCATATAACGTTATTGCGATTGAGTCTTTCGTAATATAAGATGTTTCTGCCAACAAGAACATTAAATATTAAGTTGAACGAATAAAATTCGCAGGATATGTCATTAGTAAGACTGTTTTATTTTATTGCCTGCTTTGTATTTTATGTAAAAAAATATCTTAGTTTGATATCGTAGTTTGATGATTTAATCATCAAGTGGGATCTAAGAAAGTGACATTTCCTTTTTGTTGAATAGTGATGTGTTATTCTATTTCGATGAGCTTCTGTAAGATACCTTCGACCTAGATAACAATCGATTTTGGCGAGTACAACAAACTCGCTCGAAACTGCAGTCGTTGTTGTCGTCGTCGTCGTCGCTCTTCGTCTTCTTCGTAACTTCACGGGGTCCTTGAACCGCTGTAAGTAACGTTTCCTCGCAGATATTACGTCTCTCCGTTTATCTTGCAGCCGTCCTTTCTCGGCTTCGGTGTTTTTTACATTTGCATTTACACCGCTACTTGATAAGATTTTATTCGTCCGCGGATAATGATGGACGAGAAATGCGACGAGCTAAATATTTAAAGTTGTGCATCGAAATCTCCTCTTGTATAAATAATGAGCATGATTTACGAGCGAGTTGAACGATAAAGATTGATTCTGCTCGATAGGATTGGGAAAAACTAACGAAAAAATGCGGTCAATTGAAGAGAACAATTTTTTTCCAGAAATGGGCGACACTTTCCGAAAATTTAATATCAAAAATTATCATTGAAAACTTCGCACTTTATCACTAAACGTTGATTTCTAGTATTTCAAGTATCTCTTTCCGCAGGCCATTTCTTTTATACGTAATGCAAAATGCACAAATCCGATTATCGTTCGTTAAGTCGCGCAATCAGCGCAAAAGTCATTGTTTAATCGAGTTTCCATTTTAGCTTCTTCCTGTAAACGAGTAAGACACCACCCGAAAGGTGGTTCAACCCATTATTTTTGGGATTCGCGTTCGAGACTGGGCACCTTTACATCGAGATTCCTGCTTCTTGTTGCTCTCGCACTGTTTCGCCTCTTTTTTTAACTCTGTTTCTTTTCTCTTTTTTTCTTTCGTTTTCTCTCTCTTGTTATGGAATAAACTTTTTCCTGGCAGCACGAGCGCGGACCTGCTCGCCGATTTTCAATGGTTTACATGTCCGCCGGCTTTTCACATGAGCCATCTCGCTGAAAGATAAATCAAAACAAAAAGAAAATCAGAAACCAAAGATAAAATAACGACAAACATAAGATTGACCGGAAAGAAAAGAAACGTAATCGCGTTTAAGAAATAATAAAAACACATACATAAATGCAATCACACGTGAATATAATGTTCAGTCAACTATATGAATTATTTCGATTTGTTTTCTTAAAAATAAAATTCCATAATATACAATTAAATCCTCGTATTTTTTATTCTCGTCTAATCTTTTCTGAAATAATTCCCTTTTTTATTTTCAATCTCTTTTTTTAATCTTCACTTATATTCGAAGAATTCCTTTACAGAAACAATTTATCGAAAAATTTCTCGTTAATATTCCAAACGATAAAATCATAAAGTTACGGCAGTTTTTTAAAATTTTCAATTTGATTATAAAACTTTTGTTACAAACTTTTTTTAAATCTTATTTTAAATCTATATTTTTTAAATCTCTTTTAAATATCTCTAGAATTTATCGTAGAACATATGTATTTATAAAATATTGAAATGTAAAATTTTATTGCAAAAATAAATGTTATTCGAGATGTGTTCTATATTTTATTATGTCAAAATATATAACGATAAAACATAAAATATCATATTAAAATATTCATTGTTCGATGATTTCATACTAATACTTTTACCCGTAAAATAATTGGAAGAATTCGATTTGCAAGGTAAAAGTAATAAAAGTTTAATACATAAAATTTTATTTAAAAAAATAGAGCGATTATCTTCTTTCCTGAAGCAGAAGAGTGTGTGCTGAAGAGGCTTTAGCACACAAAAATCCGATAATAATAATTCGTAAAAGTATTTCAACAAATAAAAAAAATTTTTTCACTATTCATAATTCAATTTTTAAAGAACATTATCAAAGTTTTATAATATCTAAAGCACTTTTTATATATACAATACTTGACACGAAACGTTATCGTTTCTTGATTTTTCGACGATATTAAGGAAGAAAATCTGTGTCATTTATAAATATCGAGAATAATTATTTCAAAACTGTTTACAGTGAGCCTTGTGATGAAAAGGTAACGAATCTATACGTTTCTAAGGCAAAGATTTTTTTGCATTTTTACACACGACGAGATGAATTTCGCTTTTCATTACATTAAATCGAAAGACTTTAGGCAACTTTAGGCAACTTCCCAAGTGCTCCACCCTATATCCTGGCATTTTCGCACGATCGGTGGAGAAGAGGACGAAGAATCGTCAGCGAATCGTGAGAGAAACAAGGAGAGGGCGGAGAGGAGAGAAAAAAGCCCAAAGAGCACGAGAGAAACACGAGGAGGAGAGTGAGAAAAAGTGAATGTCATTGCCGTAATCTTCGGACGTTGACTTCTTCCTGGCTCGTTCCTCCTTCTTCTTCTTGGTAGCAATCCTCTCCCCTCTCTCTCCTCCTACGGTAATATCCACCTCTCTTCTTCCTCATCTTTCTCTTTGTCCTCTCCTTCTCTCTCGCGTTCTCACCTGTATGTATCTCACTTTGAGTTCTCTCCGTCCTCTTCCTCTCTCTCTCTCTCTCTTGTTTGTTTTTTCTTCTCTTTCGCGATATCCATCCCTCTCTCCCACTGGCTCTGTTTTTTCTTTTTGCAAATTTCAAGTATTTTGTGATAATTCGCGCGGTTAGATATTCGTCGGTTGATATGCAGAGTGCAGCGATCGAGCAGATCGAGTTGCAACGATTGAGCAAAGTAATGCAATGGAGATGTAATAATGTTTTTGATCCCCGATATCAGAAACTTGTGGAATTATTTATAATAAATTATTATTATTGATTGCTCCGAATAATTCATGATAAAACAAATGATAGAAATGTAATTATTTTTCGATAAAAACCTTTTTCAATCGTCCTTTAATGGTCTTTCGGTCAATCTATCATGTAACTATGACATGCGAATGGACTTATCTCCGGCAGTAATATTCGCCTATATTTTTTAACAATCGACGTACCATCGTAATAAAAAACAAACGATATCAATCTTTTTCAATTATGGAAAGAACGTGAAGATTGTCGATCGAAGAGACTCTTTATTTTTGGTATTTTTGTAATAAAAGCGTCAAAAGTTTTTCGATCATTTTGAAAAATTGTGAATCTGCATGTGAATCTGTGTGTGTGTGTGTGTGTGTGTGTGTGTGTGTGTGTGAATCTGCAGTAACACAACGGCTGAAAAAATGAGAGCACTTCTTTCAAATAGCTTTCCAAACGATAACATACGTCTTCAGTGCCGTAACGATCAATTAATGTCAAATTTTTACGAGAGTGTTTCACGCGAAGCATAACAATGAATAAAGTCGATATATTTTTAGATGTGAAATATAGAAAGAAAAAAATAAAAAAAAATCTTTTCTTAAAATGCTTGCTTTCTACAAACAATTATTAATTTATTCTGAAAATATAAAAATAATTTACAATATATACAATGTACATTATTTATTTTTAATGTTCCTTCCTAATATACCAGGTAATATACCAGATACATCAAATATTCAAAAAACATTCTAGAAATAGAAAACGACGATTGTAAATCAAAGAAATCAAAAACGTAAAAATGTAATCTAACTTTAATAAAGAAGAATCCAAGGAAGAATCGAAATATAATAATATCGATTTTCAATAAGGAACATTATTTTGATCTTACTGATCTTATATCAAAAATGCATCCTCTATCAAACATCCTGTACAAATACACAAAAACATTATTTTCATATGATAACATGAAAATCTTACAAATTTTACATGTTGTTATTAAAAATTTATACACTATGTATTTACTTCACATTAAGGAGAGAAGTTAAATTAACTGAAGGGTAGTAAACTCAGTGAAATTATTAACAATAATTTACCTCTATTTGATTTCAATTAATATTATAATATATAATTAGATTTTTTAATAATCAATTTTTAAGAATCGAAATTAAATGTATTTATTTACAAAAAAATTTATATTTAAAATATTTTGTAAATGCAATTTAAATGTTATATTGAGTCTAACTGAAATCCTTATCAAATATTAAATTTTTCAATCGATAGATTGTTCTAAATATTCAATAATAGACCAATAATTAAGATAATTATAAATAAAAATGATAAAAGAATCGTTATTTTATGAAGTAGATTTATTATATAAGTTATGATATCGATTGTTGTTAATACCTTGTGCGGGGGGAGGGGGGGAAGGAGAATAATTTGTTCTCTTGCGATTTGGACGAATTTCGTCGACGCGGCTTGTCGACGGATTTCGCGGCCTCGCAGACGATCGTTTGTCTCGCACATTGCTCGCTCGGTTCCGCGTTCCATCCGCGTCGCAAGTCAGTGCGTTCACCTTACGCTCACGAACGGAGATCTCGCGCGCGCGCGCGCGCGCAGGAGAGGATTCCTCTGGGATCGCGATCGAGTCGAGCCACGTGCTCACGTTATCAACGTCGTCGTCGAATCGATCCGCGACCATAAGCACCACGTGACCGCTCATTCCGCAATGAACGCACTTGTCGAAGAGCAGAAGAGCAGAAAAGCTCGATATTTTGAAAATTGCGGAATGGATATGAAGAGCGCATTGCTGCGTTTCCAGTAATTGTTCAAGATATAGAATTGAAATGTCACGACAATCGATCAAAATTTTTGCTCTATCCACACACATTCTATTTATTATCCACTAAAGAGGCATTATTTTAAAATATATTTTAATGTTTATTTATTTTATAATCATCTGCCGTTGTAAAATTATTTTATGATTTATAATTAGACGCATTATTACATTTTTTTAGAAGTCCTCGTAATATATTGTTCTTTGAAAACCTGACAATATAATCAGATATATTCTGATTCAAAAATTGAAACAATTGTTTAATTTGTTTTAATTTGAAACAATGTGCGCGAATATACACCTATTTCTAAAGCATTCAACGAAATATATATATAAATATTTAACGAGTAGAATATATAGGATAATTCAGAACGAGTATAAAAAACCGTGACAAGTTACGCGTAGAAAGTTATTCCGAATAAAAAAGTATGTAAATATTTTATTTTCAATATTTCACAATATTTTGGATTTTATTTTCAATATTTTCAATAGTTTCACAAATTGTAAAATATTACTGCTATCATAGTAAAAATATGTTTAGCAAGTAATGATCTTTGAGAAATTAAAATAAAATACAATAAAAGAATGAGATATCAATTGTTTACAAAAACTTTACTATGATTGTAATGATTTTATTATACGATACAACAAATATTGCAATTTTTGTAACCACGTAAGAGAAATATTGGGAATAGGATACATTTTTTTACTCAGAATGATCTCCCAAATAATCTGTCAAACTTTGTTATACTCGTTCTAAATTATTTTATATATAATGAATGTATACAAAAAATATATATATATTCAATTGAACATATCGAACGAAATAACTATAATTTAATAATTTTCCCACCCGATTATGATCGACACCTCGAAACAACGCGCATTCGCTTCGCTTCGCGAGACAATGAGGTATGAATGAAAGCGCAATGAACTTTTGCAACTTCCTCGGCAATTATTTCCTCGCCGGCCGCGAATCACACTGAATAAAGGTGACCACTCTGTACACTCCATGAGTTTACCTGCACGAGCGATTCTTGAACACTCGACGTCTCTTCTGGGTGAAACTCGTCACTGTGTAAGAGCCTGATCCGGATTATAATCCATGAAGGTCCGATCGATTCTTTTAAATTCGCGCCTCTCGGCACCATCGAAGTTTATCCACAATCACGAGTCGGTCGCAAAATTTCGCGCGGATTATCAAAACACTCCGATATCTTCAAGCACGATTATGCGATCACACTAATAATCAGAGTGCACAGTCACAATAGGATAAGAAATCGTCTACGGTTAAAGTATTTGAGAAAGAGACACCGAGAATAGTGTGTATAATTATTCTCTGAATTATCACCTCGCTGTGGAAAAAATATACGTCTCTCACAGACACGTCTTTTAATAATGGTATTCGCGAGGAACCACCAAATATCACTCACTATCGTCACGATGACAGGAACTGAGTGTTTTAACTCTCGTTCGCAGAGGGATCGAAGAGATCAGACACGTGACGGTGCGGGAGGCGGCATTCTTTAGAGAGAGAGAGAGAGAAAGAGGAAGCGAGAGAAACAGAATCACACGTATGGATATCCTGTCGTGAAGATTTAGGAGTTAGCTAACAATAAGTACGCGTAGAGTGGTCGGACGGAACGTTTTACGCGAGAGCGTGCGCGATCACGTGCGTGCGCGCGATCCACGAGCGTGCAGCGCGTCGAGCCGCTCGTTCTCGCGCGAGTGTCGGGAATGGGGACCACCCGTCGCATGTTTCCCTTGCTCCGTCCTTCTCGATCGCGCGCTCGAGCTTCTCTCTTTCCCGTTTCATCTATCCCTCCCTAAGTTCGCTCCTTCTCTCTCTTTCCCACTCGCTCTCTGATTTCCTTCTCCCTCTCTCTCCCTCCCTTCCTTAGGATATCTTCTTCGTCTTCTCCCTGGAACGGCCGCTTACCCGCGACCGCTCACCTGTGAGGTAAGTAAAACCGACGTACCATCGTACGTGTTACGACATTGCGCGACTCGCGAGAAGGGAGGGGGGAGAGAGAAAGAGAGAGAGAGAAAGAGAAAGAGAGAGAGAGAGGCAGCGGGAAAGCAAGGAGGTGGTTGGAGGTGGCGATGAGGGAGAAGACGAGCGAAGGGGACGCCGAGGAGGGTGAACGAGATGAAGAAGAGAGGTGGGGGAGAACGAGAGGAATTAAGCGAACGGGTCGGAAGTGAGTCCTGAAGATGGAAGGGGTTGTAGTCGCGGCGACGAGGGGTAAAGAGAAGAGGGAGAGGGGGGAAGAATCGAGGGAAGCCGGAGGTGAGCCGCGGTGTCGTGGAGGATCGGCGTCCGGTAGGGATAAAATCGTGGACCGACCGACCTGTCGTGGTCGTCGCGACTGCAGGGGGGGGGGGGTTAAATCGGGGGACGCGCCGTAGTGGGGGTCGCGCCGCGCGAGTGGACCAACTGGGTTCGCCAGCAACATGCGGTTCATTGACCGAAAAGTGCCGGGAGAGCCGAACGTACAAACGAACGTACGAGAACTCGTTCGTTCTCTCTCCCCTCCCTCTCTCCATCTCTCTCTCTCTCTCTCTCTTTCTCTCTTGGGAAGGACCCGCTATCAAAACAGAATTCGCGCATCGGCGTCTTTTAGCACGGCAGAGGGGAGGCGCGACAGATCCGTCGAGGGTGTCAAGGGCGACAAAAGACGAATTAACGATGCGCGAGGAGTTTACGAGCCATGAAGGAAACGAGGAACGCTGAATTGCCTGTGAAACAGCGCCTGATTGCTCAAGTAGCTTCAGTTTGGAAAAAGCGTCGGAGATTATCATCGGTGAATCTATTAGAAAAATTGCCTCTAGACAATTTTGATGAGAACCGATCGAAACAATCCACAACACCAATAAATAATCTGATAAAATTGAAAGATTCTACCCAATGGTTTTTATAATTTACATATTTATAATTGATACATTTTTGAGGCAAAACCCTGCAAAAATGATGCTGCACTGATTCAACTTTTATTGTCAAAATTCTCATATTTAAATTTCTGGAAAAAATTTTTGTAATGACTCGATTTGAAAATTTAAATCTCTGTATTAAATCAACGAAAATGTGCGAAGTTTGAAATGACACGCTGTTCTCTCTTTCTCTCAATAATATTATATATCTCATAAACTTCAATTATTACAGTTCATTCACATCCTAAACAATAAAATCAGGATCTTCCTTCGATCGATGTTAGAAAAGAAGAGCAGATACCATTTTGGACAGACGTTATCCCGAGATCGAGGTTCGATGACTTATTTCCACGATCGACGCGTTTCCTGATCGAGCGAGGATCTGGATGGAGCGAAAGGGGAACGCGCAGGACGTGGAGGAGAACGTTTACGGGAAAGGGATGAAGTATCCCGCTTTATAAGTAAGTTCGCGGTAAGACTACCGTCGTTCGGTGTGGTCGCGCACACTTGTCGGGAAAGGAGATGCGCGGCTCCGCGGTATAATGAACCTGGGAAACCGGTTACATTCGCGCGAGCGCGAGCGCGAGCGTACGTACAGATCGATTCGTTCCCTCTATGTGTACTTGTGTGTTACATTATGCGAAACCGCGCGCTGCATTTCCCCTCATCGGGGCTTTCGCGCTGCCGCTGCGGTTTATTCGCGAATATAAACCACTCTCGCGCGCGTCCTCCTTCCTTTTTCTTCCCTTCCTTCCTCTTTTCTCTCTCCGTTTCTCGAATCGTATTGGATTGATCGAAAGTTTGTAATAATTACAAGTAATTATCTAAAGACAAACTCGCCATCATTAACACGAATGATGATGGATCATCAAAGAATAGATCATATAAGATTGTCATCTTTATGCAAGAAGAATATTAGATATCAAAACCAATAAAATTCGAGCGCAACAATAATAATCGACAAGAATATTATACATGCATGTATGATAATGAACTTTCCTTATGAGATTCTTGGAAAAATAAATCGATAATTAACAAAATTTTAATTAGTATTTATTATTACCAAGGAAATTTGGTAAATTTAACAAGAAGAAATGAATCATAATCATTTGGTAATTCCTAAAAGAGAATTCTGGTTCGTCCATTTTTTCAACAGACATACTGGTTGAATCTATCAGATTTCTAATTAATGCAACCAGAATTTTTTCACAGTGAAGAATACTAGATATCAAAACTAATAAAATTCGAGCGAAACAATAATAATCGACAAGAATATTATACATGCATGTATGATAACTTTCTTTATGAGATTCTTGGAAAACTAAATCGATAATTAACAAAACAAAAAATGGAAAATCACACTGAGAAAAATCATTTGATTGCATCAATAAGGCGTATCTGATAGAAGACATTTTGATTAAATCAAGCAGAATTTCTAGTTATCATGATAAGACTCGATTTTTTATAATTAGAATGTTTAATAGACTTTACTACAAGAATTTATTTAGTATTTTCTAGTTGGATCTATAAAATTTCTTGTTATATTAATTAAACACGGACAGAATGATGCCATTTTTTTGTAAATTTAGTATTATTACCAAGAAAATTTGGTAAATTTAACAAAAAGAAAATAATCATACTCATTTGGTAATTCCTAAAAAAATTCTGATTCCTAAAGGAATTCTGATTCCATTTTCCAACAGACATACTGATTGAATCTACCAGATTTCTAATTAATGCAACCAGACTTTTTCTCAGTGCATTAATATCAAATATCTATTTAATAAAAACATTAGTTCAATGGTAACAATGTAAGCAATTAGTGATTTTTATTTCGATTACTCTGTTTCGTTCTTTTATATGCATTCTTCACGTCCAACTAATCTATATTGAAAGTGAAAGTTACGATGATATAATCTGTATTGGATCAGTTCGATGTAATCAAGACGCGAAAATACGTTTTAATAGCATACGAGACATGTTTACGCAATTAATTATATATAATCAGAGAGTTCTCCGGAAAAAATCTTGCGACAAATATATCAGAATGCAAAATTGATAAGAATAGCTTGCGATCGATTAATTTCCGATGCATCACTTTTTCAATTAATAGGCAAGGAACATAACTTGTAGAACAGCTCGATCATGGTAGGACGGTTTAACGCCTCCTCATTCAGCGAATATACTGTTATAAGTTTATACACATAATTATAGAGTGCTGGCTCTTATGCAATGTGATAATAATATATCGTCATCTCCGCGATTTACGTAGAGATATTCTTATAACTTGTAAATGCATTCTTAACTTTCTCATTGTTGAAAAATGAGATTTGATATACTTGACATATTTATAATAGTATTTATAACGAATTACATATGTTTCAGCTGTAAATATATTTTTGTATTTTTCCAGAGTTGTTTTTGGTAAAATAAAGCTATCAAATCCCGAATTTCATTTCTATTAATTATGACAGATGCATGATATATTGTTATTTTATATTATAATTTTTAAGATTAATTTCTTTTATAAGGCACACAAACAAATAAATATTATATATAAATATGTAAATAAATATCACAAAAAAGGTTATCGTTTTTTTATCTGTATATGCATAAATATTGAGAGAAATTGCATTGACTTTCCGGACGATGGATAGCAACAAGGCTCAATGCAATTAATTGGTTATTAACTGGAGAATTTCTCGAGAATTTCAGAAATTCTCCCTCAGCAACCAATTAGCCATTAGAATGTCCCGTCTACCGATCACCAGTGACCAAAAAGCCAATCTCGGTCTTAAAGGCGCATTTCATTTCATGGATTCTCAGCTCTAGGGGAACGAGAAGATACCGAATGAAAGGAAAGAGGGTGAGAAAAACAAGTCGCCTTCAATTAAAGCGGAGCGCGCGAAGGAAACTTCCGGTTGCGAAGATCTTCCGGCTCGCAGTAAAGCGTTCCGAAGCGATGGGATCGTAGAAGGGAATGAGATAGGTGGGTGCGCAGAGTAAGTGGTAAGGGAGTTGTAACAGACAGGGGTGGCGGGTTGGATTTGCGCGACGAGAAGCAACGGGGGCTGGAATACGAGAGAGGTAGGGGTCTGAAGAAAACACATAATAGGGTGGGGCGCTTTACTGCCGCTTTTGAATCGATCCAACGCCAGCTACAGCTGGAACCTCATCCTACCTTGCTCAGCAGAGGTGCTCATTCCCTCTCTCTCTCTCTCTTTCTCTGTGTGTGTGTATATCTTTCTATGTCTTGTGTATATCTTTCTATGTTCTTGTGTATCTCTCTATGTGTTTCTCTTTTCTGTCTTATCAGAAATTTTCACATGATACATGTACGACATCCGCGAACATTTTTTAATGATGGATTCTTCAGATAGTCTTTTTCATCTCGGTAAATTTTTCTCCTACATGAAAAGGTCGCGAGAGGATCATCACTTGTCGCAACTTTGCAACTTTCAATATTATGCTTAGCAAGTCTCAAATGAATATTTCTATTAATTCGGAAATTATACAAAAAACAAGGTATTTTTTTCTCTCAAACTCTCATCTTCGATATAAAATATATATAAAATATATTTTATATCTCTCGATATAAAAATCAAAGTTTTCTCAATTTTATATCTCGTTTACAATTTACAAAATTTTGAGATAAATCTCTTCTACTTCTGCTTTTACAAGTATAACCAGTATAAGTGCATTCGAAATGTCGGATAAAAATAAGGTAAAGTCCCGTAGGAACGAGAAAAAAGAGAGGGAGGAGGGGATTTATTTTAAATCAGGTTTCACAGGATCTTTTAGACAAACTCAATGCATGTACGTATATATGCAGCATGCAGAATTTGACTAACAATGGATTAACGCGAATTTTTTACTTTACAGATGCATGCGAGAAAAACCAGT